TCCACAGTTCTGACTGAACAGAAAACTCTTTCAACTTTGTCATTTTGTAGAAAGTGACAAAGTAAAAAAAAAAAAAAGCTTTTATTCATTTTCATTAAAGATAAAAGAGAAGCAGAAAATTCCTCTCAGATCCAACCTGACCAAAGTCTGTGGACAAGTCACGGCAGATTAGTGGGTCTATTATTTTTTTTTTTGCCTTTTGTTCTGTCAAAGTCAGAGTTTTGAATGTCTCTATGAGCCCGAGCATGAATCTCTGAACCTGTTGGTAAACTCTATCAGAAATTTACCAAAATGCTGTCTTTTAATCCCAAAAAACTCAGATTACACCGTGTGCTTCCATTCCCTTTCGAGTCTTATTCGCTATATTATTTGTTACCATTTTATCCCTATAATGCCAAATGTATCATATTTGATTCACACGGTTTCTGAAGTCTTTTGGATCTGAGACTTTCTGCATCATTTAGTGGTAAAAGCTTTGCTCAAACCCCTGTTGTACACATTCAGATATACCTGATAACAGCCAGTAGAAGACTACACCAAAATATATTTTTGGCTTATTGCACGCTAATTTGATCAAAATAATTTCTGTTTTTTTTCTTCATATGTTGTTGAGGGGCCAAAGAAAGACTTCAGACTAAAAAAACCCTAATATTCTTCCTATTTTTCTTGGATCAAGGTCCAAGAATAAAACAAAACAGAAAATTACTTTTATTTGGTTTAAATTCATTATTTGGCCTTTTAACAAAATATGTAAAAAGAAAAAACAAAAATAAAATTTTAATATTAACAATTTATTACTATGCGATAAGTCAAGATTATTTTTTGTGTAGTCTTCTGCCCCCTGTTATCAGGTGTATCTGATTGTGTACAATAGGATTTTGAGCAAAGTTTTTACCATTAAATTATGCAAAAGGTGTCAGACGCAAAACATTTCAGAAACCGTATGAATCAGATATGATACATTTGGCATCATAGGGTTAAACAGGTCCATGCTATGATGGGAATACAGAACCTCCCTGCTTTTCTCTCTGAGGCCTCCGGTGAGTTTGCAGCAGGATGAGATCTCACCAGACGAGTCTCTGACCCTAAAGATGTAATTCAAGGCCTCCATGAATAACATCTGCATGTTCTAACCCAGAGACTGTAGTTTTTTCCATTAGCGGCTCGTTAAGCTCCACCCACCTGAACTGGAGTTTTACCGGCCGGATCACAGCCTGGAAATGACCCACTGCAGGGATATTACAACCCGTTTCTCATCTTCCTACAATTCAAATCGACCTCGCAAAGAGTCTGAGTTCAACCCCTCCTCCTCCGTCTCCGGGGAATAGGTAAGATTCAGTTATTGTTCTTATTATTGTTTTCCTTGTTGGTCTGTTTTGCTTCAATCTTGCAAACTTTGGATGATCTTCCCCTTCTGTGAGAGTCCTTAAACGAATCCGTCCTTCTTTTTTCTGATGGGATGCTGTGAAGACTGAATTTATTTGAGGCTTTGTTTATAGAATCCAATTTTTATTAGGTGAAGTCACACCTGCAACCGGCAAAATCGGATAAGAAATAAAAGAACGCAACTCAGTTAAAGCGCTTTCAAATGAAAGAGCAAAATACCAGCTGATAGGAGTTTGCTTTAAGTTCACAGGATTTGTAGAGAATAATTTAGCTCTTACTGCATATTGACTATAGCTGCTCCAAACTTTTTCTAACTGGTTGATGCAAGTGCAAGTATCAAACTGATGGTTCCAAACGTTTATTAAAGGATTTTCCGTCATACAAACGCCCAAGACCACCGTGAACACTGTAAAAAATACACGGTGGAAAATATTCATCAGTGATAAAAAAACGTCATGTTCCCTTACATGAATTATCAAATGAAACTTATTAAACAAAATATAAATTCTCTAAATTGTCCATACCGTATGCCCCTCCAACCAGAAGGTTAGGAGTTGCTAGAAGTCCATTTCTTCCATATTTCAGTCCTTTGCCTTTTTTCTTACACTCGCAGACTAATTATAAACGAAACTCTGAATTTACATCAAAAGCATCACGTGATCAAGTGAAGACCCAAACGTCTTTATCAATCAATCAATCAATCAATCAATCACTTTATTTTGGGAAATTATCCACATTAAACACAAGAAACAACAAAAGAAAAAAAAAAAGAACAATAGACAA